ATACACATGCCTAAACATTACCACATTTAAACATGTGTATTAACCGTTATAATAAACATGTTTAAATATTATATTAATATTCAAACACGTGCACTAACTGTTATAATACACATGTTTAAATACTATTATAATAATCTTCACCGGGCACACAATGGTTTGGGATGCCATGGGTAGGCGCTTCAGTTCAATCTTATTATTTTTGTTTGTTATGCATCGTAATTTTCCCGATTTTTAGGTGTGAACACAATTTGTATTTTCTTTTTAATTATACTGTGGTATAGACAAGAAGAACAATTCCCAGTAAAAATATTTGCGGGAAATTCAGTAGTTGCTTCTGTTCGTTACGGACTGCCAATGCACTTTTTGACATCACACCACACCTAAACATGCGCTCCCGATTATAACTTCTTTTTATTGAAAATGTAGGAATATGTTAAGAGCGTATTAATTGTTGTAGCCTAGATTGTAGGTTTATTCATTACGTTTGCCGTGCCTGACCATTGTAAACGAAATATCTCTTGCTCACTCTAGATCACTAACCTTCCTAGGCCTAACTACATAACACTAGTACGCGACCTTCGCAGGCCGCCGGCAGCGGGTAATAAATTTTAGGTAAGTAGCGAATCTGTCACCCGACCTGTCACAGACAGGGGGTTGGATGATCGATTACCCGAGTAGGTCGGGTAGCAGGACCGAATTCGCTAAGGGAAGATTTTCGGCATGACCATGACTATATGCACCATCTAGGATGATTACATTCTTTTTAATAAATTCCTAATAGATTTTTAATTTGTTTTAACTACAGGAGCTCAGGGCACAAAACAGAGATCTTCAATCAAATCCAAAAATGAGAGCAATGGTAATGGAAGAAGAACGAAAAAGACTGGAAATCGAAAACGCTGCTCTCTTGAAGGAAGAACTGGAAAGAATGAAACTGGAAGTAGACCAACAGAGAGCAGAAATACAGGTGAATTGAGTTAATACAGTATATAATGAAGTTCCACATTTTTTGAAAGAGTAATATAAGCGGCAAAGACAAGCGAAAACAGTCCTCGCAAAAAAATTGATTTTTAGTTATTAATACCAGTTTAAGTAGTTAAATGAAAGTTATGAAACGATAAAAGAATAATTTAAATTCAATTATTTCCTTATGGAGTTTTGTATAGTTATTTTTCTATTGTTAACTTTTTATTGTGCTTTTTTAAAATTTGCGGTATTTTCTTCTGGCAAAGGCATAGAGGTAAAGTTAGGAGAATTACAATAACCCGCAACGTCATTGTGCAGGATTGGGCGTGGCCTGTGACTACCTAACAGCCGTAAAGAGGTGCTTATAGTAGCTACGTGTTCACATTATTCCAGGACAGTGGCTGAAGTAAACCATAACATCGGGGTGAACCCCTACTTGTCCGAAACAAGCAATGGGTTCTTTAAAGAGTGTGCGAGTCAGATGTATACACTGGGTCTCCATTTTATTTCGTTATCCGAGAAGACTTGCCTCTACCAACTGAACCCTGGGTGGAAGCGTTTGGAACCAGCGCCGATGTTAAGGCTGTAGTTAGTGGCACCCCTGGCTTATCGCTCGGCCACTTAACATGCAATATGTGCAATCGTTTTTGTTAACTTTTTATTTTCCTTTGTATCTTTGTTTTCGTTTTTTCAAGTCTGTATGGAACGATTTATTTTTGCTGCCGGTTTGAATTTGAAATATGTAAATCGGCCTTCAACGTTAACGATTTGGGACATTCCCCAGGCAGAGACCATGACCAAAATATTACAAAATGTTGTAAACATCGAAAAAGAGTAAATAACAGCAAGGCTAATGTATAGATATATAAAGTTCGTACAGTAAAATAGATTTTGAAAATTAGTTTTTCCCATTATCTCTGAAACATGATTTCGGAGGAGGGAATGGTTCTGCTTCTCTTCGCCACATATATTTGCATACAGTGTTCTCCCAATTGAAACATTTTTACTAGTTAATTTTTCCATAAAAATTCAGCTATGTATGCAGTGTGAGTTTTACTACCCCTTTTAAGTTGGTTTAATGACTTGGAAAAAACAACAGCACATTCAATCATAGCCTAGACATAGACTGGAATGATGATCATTTATTGAAAGATGCCAGCCTAGACCTAATCTTTTTTTTTTTTTATTTTACAAATAAAACATTTCTATGGTAAAATTGATGGCTAAAACTGCTTCAAAAGAACACTGGCATATTTGAAACTATTATTCTGACAATTGCAATTTTTTAGGTAATATTTTACATAGCAGATAATCAGAGTATGACACATTTATTATCTGTAAGGTCAAGAATAACTAATAGTACAGTGTCATGAATATTAACCACAATAATGAACATTCATGACAATCTTTTAGATGAAAGTGGCACAGGGTAAGACATACACGACGGAGGAAGCAATGAAACTTGAAATAGAGCTGATGAAGGAGAGAGAGGAGAGGAGCGTTGTGGCTAGGCAGCTTGAAGGGCTGGACTTGGAGAAGAGTGTCATACAACAGGAGCTTGACGAGGCTTATCAGAAGCACTCAGAGGAGCTGGAAATCCAACAACTACAGCATTTCCAAGTAAGTCAAGACTGTACTGTATTGATAAGTCATAATGAACCTGTTTAGTACACAATATTTCTCTTCTTTATTTGTCATTTACATGTTATTTTGTATCTATATAGTACCTATTCCTTTAGGTTTAAAGTGCTTTGTTTTCCCTGGCCATTGGGTCCGCATGCTTAAGTGTTGCTGCCATATTGGCACAGTAGCAGGCAACCCCACCGGTTTCCTATTTGTACTGGATACAAGCAAAATGCACAGCGAAGGATTGAAACCCCAACCAAAACGTTCCTGCTCTACCAAACCACTTTTTTCAAGAGAGAATGGGGCAGAGGCTGTTATTATAACGTGATGATGAAAAGAACCGCAACACAAAATTTCGTTCTGTTTTTCTTTAACCTTTACCACCACCTTTACTTTGAAAACCTATTTCAAGTCTTTCTAAAACCTTATGATCTTCAGTCAGTTACACTTAATAGTGGATAAATCTAACTTGTCTAAATTTTATTTTGTACATATAGCGTGGCCCATAGGCTTGATTGTTTAGCTACTATACCCCATTTGCCGTCAGAATTACCCCTCTTAAAATATGTCTACAGAATTTCATGGGTCATAATTGAAGTATTTCAAAACAAAAGAATCAAATCCAATTACAGTAGAACCCCTATTAAGGGGACAGTTTTAAAACAATAAAAAACATCAAAAACATCTTCAAAAAAAAAAAAAAATTCCATCCTTTAGTTGGCAAGTTACTTGTAGACACAAAAAACAATTACAGTATTTAAATCAACCTATTATGTGGCTGATAGTATCTCTTTTCCTCTGCAATTCAAATTTGATATTAAATCCTTGCCTTTCTTATTAGACATTCCGCAATTATCGTGAGGTTTTTGAAGAACAGAAAGCGGCTTTGGAACAGCGCTTCCGTGGGCTCCTGGAGGATGCGATTCAAGATGCTGTATTTCTTTCCACTCGCAACGCAGAACTTGTGCAGGAGAATCAGGCTCTTCAACAAGGTATAGTAAATGCACTTTGAACTCATTAGCTGCTACTGCTGTCGGCAGGTGATTAATAATTGACACTTCACAAAAAAAATATATGTTGTAATATACGTAATTGAAGTCATCATCCCCTAGATAGAGATGACAAAGGATATTTTCTGGAACATAATTTTGATAGATTACTAGCGTGTCATTTGCAAAGCATTTTGTACTTTTTAAGTTGATTAATCCTGAAGTAGTGTACTACCACCAACGCTGTAAAGTATTTAAATTTACGTGGAAAAAAATCACTAGGAAAATAAGTGCGCGGAATCATATTTTTTGGCAGAAAGTGCATCAAAATCATGCATGCATGAAAATGTTTTCCGAAATGCACAGACAGAATTCTAGGCCTAATATATCACCTGTGCCAAACCTTATTTTAGAGTCTGGACTACCACTACCGAATGTATAAAATTTAACTCAAAATAATCTTCTCCAATTTCTTCTCTTTTTTTTTAGAAATTGCGGAGTACAAAGACAAGCTGTCAATCAAAGGTGGTGGAGCTGGAAGTCGACCAAACTCAAGTGTGACAAGGAATTAAATATTTTTATAACAAATCTATGTATTCACCATGGAAACAAAATACAGTACCAACATTATATGCTCTAATGTGCATAAGGCCCAGTTGGTCATGTGAATCAGAATCATTTTCTTAGATGGGAAGGGTTATAACTTAATTTCATATGATTTATTTGTTCCAGTACCTGTATAAATGATATTAGATTTGAAAGCGAGACAGGGACAATCAAGCCAACAAAATTGTCAAAAAAGGTGAAGATACCAATTCTTGTATAAAAGAACTGAGATCAAATTAATGTTTGGACCATTTAAAGGCTTAGCAGGCTACAGAGGGATAGTGTCAGACGTATAGACCAAGCTAATTATGCACATCTAGATGTGTATAAGAGACAGACCTATTCCTTTAGGTTTAAAGTGCTTGAGGCAGTTTGGTGTAACAATTTTCATTCAGGTTCTAAACCTCCTAGTCAGGAGTTAGAGCCATGTCACACTGACTAATGTCAGCCGACTACACTTGGTTAACTTTATGTTGCACTGTTGACAGGCTGTTTGATATGTGCGTGCATTTCATGTCTTGTAAATAAAATGAATATTGTGGCCACTTCCTATCAATAGTAATGGTATCATCAGGCCAAGATAAAACCAAGATATATTATAAATATTTATAAAAAGTTGCATTTAAATCAATTTAGGAAATGCCTTCTTAGTACACTATCGTCATATGATAATGTAATAACTCGTAATAACATACCCATAATAAACTGTCAATTATTTTATCAGGATCAGAATTTGAGATTCGTATTTCATCTTTGGTTACTGTATATGGATTAATAGTTTTAACAGGTAGTGCTTTTAAGCTCCACATTTGATTGATTTCTTCACAATGTTTAAAATAACACAGGATTGATGTCATTTGCCATTGTATCAGTTATGACAACTATTTTCTTAGATCACTTTCTTACACTGCTGTAATTAAATCATGTAAATAGCACATTTGATACAATTAATGTATTTTGTATCATTTGGTATGCATCAGATAATGATTTAAATATTCCGTCCAACAGAAGAAAAAAAATGTATTGATATATTAAAAAAAAGATAATTTATAATTGTTTTGTAATCTAAAGATCAGTTATGAGAACTATTCTCTTAGATCACTTTCTTACACTGTAATTAAATCATGTAAATAGCACATTTGATCCAGTTAATGTATTTTGTATCATCTGGTATGCATCAGATGTGTAATGATTTAAATATTCCGTCCAACAAAAAAAATGTATTGATGTATTAAAAAAAAGATAACTTATAATTGTTTTGTAATCTGAATTTGGAAATTCATCATGTATTTTATTGCCATGTGCTTTCTTAATTTTCAGTGCAATGTAAGATATTGAACATTATTATTTGTAAAGTATATTTATTGCATGAAAAAAAAAAAACTTCAATCAATCATTATACACCATAAGACGATTGCCTTCCAATTCCCGGGCTCAAATTTTATATCATGATTTTGTTGTCATGTCTGAAAACAATCGACTCCACTACTGAAGTCTCATAGAGACTTGGTTTACACAAGTTGCTTGCTGTTTTAGATGAAAAGAATGTGAAGTCAAATAATTGTTGTGGTATTAGCATACAGTAAAACCTCGAATTGAAGCCGTGGGCTTCTTGTTTTTTTGCGAAATGTTATCAGATATGGATTTCATTTGACATAAACGATGACCTTTATGGTTTGATCTATGTAAATTGAGTAAAATTAAAAAGAGAACCATTTATGTCTTGTTCATTTTGTATCACTTTGCTCCAACACAAGTGACGTAATGCTGAAGGTAATAGTGACTGGCCCCAAATAATTTCAAGACGACGCCCCTTGCATATCTGCAGCCAGATCAGACACTACATGTAATATTTCCCTTAATAGTTAATTTCACCGAATCTTGGATGCTACTATTTAAGGATTGCTGAATGTGTTTATTGTGCAGGGAAGCCAGCGGTCCACTAATCAGTCTCCAATATTTTATTGAAATGCATGCCATCGTGTTGGGATTCAATATCTTGACATCAATTATGTCATCAGGAATGTCTTGATGCTGAGACATGTCAAAATATTGAATACCAACACGGCGGCTCCAGACATGTCCGACGGAGGGTATGAATCAAAGGGCGGACTTAGAGCCTCGGTCGGAGTCCCGAAATAAAAATATTTTTCGCATTGAACAATTTCCCTGAAGGAACTAGTTTTTTTTAAGGGGGTGGGGGATGTGCATATTAAATAGGTTATGGGAAACAGTTCCATCGGCGACACAGTACAGTCGCTGAAAAAACCAAAAATGTTGCCATTAAAATCTGAAGGACCCTCCTATTATCATATGGTTGGCGTGATGGATGTTTATCGATACCCAGTTAAAATGTGTCCTACGGGGTGTATAGGAGATTGGCATTACATAGCTTGAATGGTCACAGTTGCATTTCTGTAGACTACTCATGGCTGCTAGGTAAGCCTTTGAAATGTCAGTAAAAATTTTTTTTTCTCGCATAATTAAGATAACATATGAGGCAAAGACAAGCCAAACCAGTCACTCGTCGCAAAAATCGATTTTGAGTTATTAATCCAGTGTTGGAGAGTAAAATAATAGCTATAAAATGGTAAAAAATCATTCAAATTGGACATTTCCTTATGAAGTTACAATAACGATATATGAGAAATCAGCCTTCAAAGTTTATGATTTCAGGCATTTCTCATGCAGACACTATCATCAAATCCTTAAAAAGTGTTGTTTTAACATTGAAAATGGGGAAAATAACAGCATAGAATGATGTATAGATATGTAAAGATTAGTTTAGTGCAATAAAATAGATTTTTAAAAATTTGACATTCCAGCATGTTTTGGCCATTTTCTCTGAAACAAGATTTGCGACGAGTGACTGGTTTGGCTTGTCTTTGCCACATATGTACTACCTAACATTACAAGAAGAAGCATCCAAACAAAGTATTTCAGTGAATTGTTTTATTTATTTCTCTTCACATAATATACAAACCATTGTGGATTGATTTCACATGGCTGTAATAAATTTGTTACAGTGCTAAACCCTTGCTTACACAACGGGTCCAGTGATGTTATTTTAAACGGATTCTAGGACTGGTGGTTCATATCCATCTGGCCTCTCAACTCTGGTGCCGGTCTCATCTGAGGATGCGGCTACAGTCTTTGAACTGCTTCCTTCACCATGCATTTCCATAAGGCGTCCAACTGAAAGGCAAGAAAACAGTAGTAGTATACAGTAAGGCAGAACCTGACTCATAAAAAATAACAAAAAAAACAAAAAAAAAAACAAAAAAACAAAAACCCCATCCTAAAACGCATTAATTAATCACTAAATGTTGAAGTCAGGGTCCAGAAAAAAGATGTTATGTTATAGAACTGATTTTTTTAAAGACAAAAAAAGTTTGTCGAAAAACTGGGAAACGGAGAGGAGATACAGAATTTAGAACATTTAAAAACAGTGGGAGAAAAAGCTGTAAAAAAAAAAGGTGGTTACGCCCTTTTCTCCCAGTTTTTTGAAAGTCTGACTTTAAACTGAGTATTTACCATAAGAATGTGACAGTATTGTATGCCTTAGTACAATGAAGCGCTTAACACTTTTACTTTGGCAATAGTAAGTCGATTACAGTAAATGACCTATAATTTTGATGCGTATAATGTGAAGAATATGAACATATTACAAAGAGGTAAATTTTCTTGCTTTGGTCACTGATTACGTGATCACTGTAAAAAAAAATCTACTTTGCAGTTTCCTTGGACCTTTCTTTTGCAGGAGCCTAAAAAAAAAAATGTCTTATCATTACATAACAGAAATAGCCTATATTACATGAGTTACTTTAAATTTTACGAAATTTATTAATTTAGAACATTTAAAAACAGTGGGAGAAAAAGGTGTATTATTGTTATTTTGATTGGTTTCACATTTTGGATACCATTTTATGGTATGATTTTACGTGCTTTTATGTATTCATTCTACTTATTGAATTGGGCTATATAAATGATAAATAGAATAAAGTGTTACTGAACTAAATGGATTGATTCATCATAGAATGCAATTTGATAATACCAGTTGAACTTTCCCAAGTCGATTCTAAAATGGTATTGAAAAATTGTTAGATAAAATTTGTCTTACTAATTAATTCCTTAATTAATGGAAAATACAACCATTTAGCATGTAAAGTAAGATCGACTTAGGAAAGTTTTACTGTAGTTGCATTCAAATTCAGAAATGCAATTATTTATTTAAAAAAAAAATAATTTAGGTAAAGGTTATTTAAAAAGCCAGGAGAATGCAAAATAAGAAGAAACAAAGAGTGGATTTTAGCAGCGAGAAAGGCACACTGAATACCTACCATCAAATTTGGGCTTCCTTAGTACTTTTACTTTTCTTACATAGACATCATGAAGTGGGTAGATTCCCTGGCATGCCTTCTCGATATCACGGCCAATACTGTCTGGAATCCTGTTAAAAAAAAACAAAAAAAAACCAAACAAACATTGAATTATTAAATTATTTATGGTAATGGTATTAGCTGTAGACTTGCATAGAGCATAATAGTACAGTAGGTCTATGTGCTTCAAACAAATGTTTAATAGAATAATAATAATAATAATAATAATAATAATAATAATATAGAATTTATATAGCACAAATTATGAAACAATAATAAAAGAAACAAATAAAATTACGAGACAAAGAAAAAAGGAACAACAATAAGTATCAACAAAAACGAAATACAAGCAGATGGATGAGGAAAAGAGTTTTAGGTCAAAAAAAGCTAAAAAAATTCATCTTGTTCCCTTATGTGGAACAATTTACAAAAAAGTCTGAAAGTAAGTATTTTTTGGTTTACATAAAAATGCTCCATTTTAATATCAAATTATTTAATCATAACTTTAAATGGTTTACATAAAAATGCTCCATTTTAATATCAAATTATTTAATCATAACTTTAAATGGTTTACATAAAAATGCTCCATTTTAATATCAAATTATTTAATCATAACTTTAAATGTCTTTGTAGTGCAATAATTTATTTCTCATCTATTTGTATTACAATTTTAAAATTTTATTGTAATTGTATTGCAATATTTTATTATGCTTATATATTATCTAACCTGAAGTTAATTATATGTTATTGTTTCTACGACAAATATAGAATACATAGATTGGATTTATTTTGCCATTCTGTGCCACAAGAAAGTAATCTCACCTTTTAACTTTAAATATGCTAAATGCTTTAAACTAATTAGGTTGAGGATGAGCATTCTCATTGGACATTCACGCTTACAATGTTTTGCTTGAGCACATTTATTTATTTCACTGACAGCTTCTGATGAAAATGTTTATTTTAACTGCTATGCTAACATATTTCATCAAATGTTTCCTCCAAAAACATCAAAACCAATTTTATCTCATTCACTACACACATATAGTACAGTGCTAGGTAGGCCCTAGCCTTGCCATGGGAGCAAATTTTTGTCACAAATTATGACTTAGATTTTACTGTTTTTACTCGCCCCAAATCGGGTTTCGTAAAATCTAGAGTTCATAATGGGAGGTTTGTAATTGGGAGATGTTACTGTAAGCATTTTTTGCCAAGCTGTTTGCAACTGTTTGGCAAACCTGTATTTAATTCTGTGTAATTGCAAAGGCAATGGTCCTTGTTAAAGATCAACATAGAAATTGCGTTCGGGCCGCTGTGGGCTTATGACGGCAACAGCTAGAAACGCTACTTTTACGCTGCCCAGTAAAAACATAGCCTCCCCCCCGCCTCCCTACGGTGGGACTTTTCTCCGAGAATTGATGAGTTTGAAACCAATCAGAATTACCAAACATTAGTTATTGTAGTAACACTAAACAATATTACAGTTTCAACTAAATTAGATTTTTTTATGGGAATATGATAGTATTTAGTGTAAATTTCATAATTAGCAGAATATAAATTATACTCCATCACTTTACTACTATCTTGACAGGGACAACGATAACATGAAGAGCAACACAGGTAAAAAATAATAGCCTCCCTGGAGTTTCGCTCCTTTGGGGAGGCTAAGTAAAGTTAGAAATGGTATATATTACGAAGTATTCAATTCATCTATTTCTAAGGGAAGGTTGTTGATGAAGAGTGGTTGCTGCTTCACTTACAATTTGTTGACAACTTCTTTGAGGTCGTTGCTTTGGCATTCCCGCTGCATGATCTCGACCATCTTCTTCCTGATGGCACGCACCTGTGTGCTCTGAGCGTAGGAAGTCTTCTTGATTTGGTTGTCTCGCCTCTTGGTGAAACCAATTGCAAATACGCGCAAAGTATACCCATCAGATGTTTTTACATCAACATTGGCTTCAATCAAAGTCTGTCCAAAAAAAAAAAAAAAAATGCAAAAATACACAGAATCCCTTATTCATACAAATAAACGCCCTCATGTAAAATGAGGGCGTTTTGGTGTAAAATGGATATGTATATACTCAAACAAATTTCAATCAATTTCTCTGTTAACTACAAAACATAATTACCGTCATAATGTGTTATTGTCAACATTATTGATCCCACACAGGTCAGACAAAAATGTAATTCTACTAGAGTAGAACATTAACAGAATATGTTGAGATATGATGTCGCTTCCAGAATGTGTAGTCACATACAAGTATCTATACAAATAGTGTGCAGGTGTTTGAATATGCTGTTTACTTTTCTAAATTGCCGAGTTAAATAATTGCCAATATAAAATAAAAATTCAAGGAGGGCAAACTGCAGGCCCTACACATTTCATATACAGTAACATCTCCCAATACGTACCCAACTGTCCAAACAGGATTCGTAAATGAGAAAATTTGTAATTCAGAGAGTTTGAATTTTTAGCATCTTGGTGTGGTGAGGGTAGGCCTTGGCCATGCTACAAAGTACAGGGCTAGGTAGGCCTAATCCTTGCCATGGAAGAAAAATTTTGTCACCAAATATGACTTGGATTTTACTCTTTTCTGCAACAAAATAATACTTTACAGAAGCCAAAATTACCTGTGCTAACTGTGAAGTATTCATTTGAAATGATATCCAAATGAAAGCATGACCATAAATGCCCAAAACGAGTGTTATTATTTTTTTCATGATTTACTGTACAGTATGCCTGAACAAGCATGCACAGCTCAAATATAACATATATCGGCTAAAAACGATTGATATTTCTTGCTTTAAACTTCGTTTTATATCACTTTATTGGTTTGAACGTTTTCTCTCTTAGCTGATGTAACAATTTGAATTATTTCGGAAGACATTTTTAAGTGTTTTTGTAGTTAAAAACGAACATTCGTAATGATGTCATCGCTGCAAATTCGGTTTGTAAAATCGAGAGTTCGTAAATGGGAGGTTCATAATTGGGAGTTGTTAAGTACTGTACTGTACAATATTAATTTGCATTGCTTATAAATTAAACGTACCTGCCATTTCTTCACCATTGAGCAGCACTTATCTCTAGTGAGGCTCATGCCGTGGAAGTTGGTGAGACAACTCTTGCCTTGGACCTCTTCTACTACCAACTTGAACTTGCGAAATGCAACTTCATCGTTTTGCAGGTCAGCGAGAGAGATCTCAAACACGCGACCTTTCAGACCATCAGAGGCAATTTCTGAAATAAGAATAATTAACAATAAAAATAATATGATAGATTTTTGCAACAAAATAGACAATAATAATTTGTAGTGTTTACATTTTTTTTCCAGTGCAACAGCTTTTATGACTAGTTTACATGATAATGTTGGAGTATTTTCTGTTCTTTTACAACATCCATATATTTAAACTAGGGATTAAGCACATAATGTGGCTGGATTTCAGGTCATAGTTTAACTACATACTTGTTCCTTGAGTTCTTGTAACTAGGGTCTTGCCAATGTTGCGAATGTTGAACATAGATGGTGCCTTCACATCATACCATTCCTTCTTGATGAAAGGGTCAACACTACAAAAAAGCAATAGAAGATATTTAACAAAATAAAGAGATGCGATACTAACATTTTCTTTTTGAAGTCTTCTACTATTTTCATCATTTTACTACTACAAAACACTGTAATTCCCCTCCTATCACTGAAGGACAACACAGTAAAATAATATTCATTAGTAGAGTACTACATACCTACACTGTCAACCACTCCCCCAAACCCCCTCTCCTAAAGTGTATATTTGTACTCTTCTGAAAATGATGGAAGATTTAATGATGGTTCTTTGATTTATTAAAACAAAATGTAGCCATTGATCTGCATACTCCAAAGAAAGTGATACAGAAAGGTGATTTTCTGGAACTGATTAAAATCTTGCTAATTAAATATATATTCAGACAGGGCCAGATTCAGGATTTGCTTTGCTAAATACTACTAATTATGCACACATTTTACTAATTTCGAGGCTGTGATTCTCATATGTGGCCTAGATCTCTAGGTGTGTGTGCATGTGCAGTTGGAGTGGGGGGGGGAGGAGGGGAAGGTTGATCTCAATCAAGGCTTAGCCTAGCTAGGCAACCATAATATATAGCTACTCAGACCTCTCTCTACCCCTCTAGGCCACCTAGGTAAGGCTAGCATTTGTTCAGCTAGCCTAGCCGCTCTAGCCCAGAGGCTTGAGGGCGCTAATGCACGTTTTTAGTACTTTAGTACTCTATTTTAGTCTAGGCCTACTACTAGGCTAGGGCTTAGCCTTAGGCTAACTAAGGAATAAGCCTAGGCCTATACTATTACTAGGCCCTAATTGTTTGGCGAAGATAGCAAGACTGGAGTGAGTCCTTGCCCGCACTCTTTATGCTGATTGTAAATATACTAAATAGAGACGTTTAGTACAAAAGTAACTGCAGTAAGCAGTATGTATGTATGTATGTATGTATGTATGTATGTATGCAGTAGATGTTACTGGGGCCCAGTATTATAGGCTAGGCGGTCTGGTTCACTTCTGTATTGACGACTAAGTTGATCTAATAATTATCATAATAATCAAACAGTAGATTTTACTCTTGATGGTCAAATACATTCATTTATTATTTAAACATTCAATCAAATTAATATTTCACTTACATCTTTTTTTTAGTACCCTTTTTACCACCTTTCGTTAACCGTTTATTTTTTCCAACAGCCATGGTGGAGCACTGAAGGCTAAAAGAGGAAGTTTTTAGGCATGATGGGAACATATAAGGTCAAACTGTGTCAAAGAGGTGGAGAATCTCGTCGTCGATGTAAACAACAAAGTTTGCTGATTTTCTTATCCCTTTATAAATGCTTTAACTTTAGGCCTAGATTAGTTTTTGGTAAGTAGATTAAGATATGTAAAAGGGTTTTTTATTGCTACCAAAGAACAGGACAGCGACACAATAAGGCTTACTTATAGGCCTGGGCCTAGTCTAGAAAGTATTAGTAGTAGTCTTACTAGGCTAGCTAGGCCTAGGCCTAGTACTAGCCTACTAGCTAGGCTAGGCCTACTACTAGAGCGTATGCCTAGGCTAGTAGTGGTACTCTAAGATGTGTAGGTTAGGCCTAGAGCCTAGACCAATGGTTCACGGATGGCCGACAACTGTGCACTTCCAATGATGTTACGTAAATCTAACTTCCCATGCCAGGTCTTTGCGTTCTTCGACATGCTTCCAAGGGTAGCTGATCATTTCGGTTGCGCTTTGTTTCGGTCGCGCCTCATTTCAGTTGCGGTTTATTTCGAACAAATATATGGAGCGCCGAGAGAGTTGCGAAAACGCAAAATTTAATATGCCTAGGCCCTATATATTATTATAATTAGTTTGTCAATCGGTTTATCATATAGGCCTAGGTATTTTTTTCCCCGTTTTAATACATTTCCATTTTATCTTTCTACTGACATAATAATATAATAACAATATAGTAACAATAATAAACTTTAATATTTATAAAAATAATTGTTAATAAACTAATGTTACAGTAATTTAAATAACGAGTTGGCTGGTTTTTCCTGACTGGTACTGGTACTGTTATTGAGTATTTATATTGTGCCTTTCCCTTGCGGTTATGAAGCGCAAACCAAGCCTCAATAATTCAGGAAAACAATAGTAGGCATAAAATCAGTCATTATTCAGGAACCTGAAGCATCACAGTAGTACAGTCACACAAACAACAAAGACAAATAAACAGATTACAACAATAAAAAAGGAAAAAAGCAGCAAAAAGAGAGTTAGGCAAACAAGTAAGTCTTGAGTGCACGTTTAAAAAGATTAGGATCAGCGATATCTCTAAGGTCAGTTGGAAGATTATTCCAAAGATAAAAAGTTGGATTTTTATAAATAATACCGGTATCATATAAAAAAACAATACCGTACTAAAAGGGAAATAGGCCCTACTAAATTTTTATTATTCATTTTATTTGCCGTATTTGTTATGTAGTAGGAAGCGTAGGATCGATAAAAAAATAAAAATAAATAAAAACCGTCCGATAAAAGTAAAATGGTACTAGGAATACAACAAGCTATAAAATAAACTAATACCATAATAATATTAATTGAAATTTAGTTTAGTAAATAGTATTCATTTTATTTGCTTTTTAGTAGAAAGACAACAAAACAAATAAAAAAAGTATAATAAACCGATTGACGAACTTACAATGATAATTAGGTCTTTTTTCGCAACTCCATTGGCGCTCCATATATTTGTTGAAAACAAAAAGCGACCGAAATGAAGCACGACCGAAGTGAGGCGCGAACGAAACAAGCGCGAACGAAACAAGCGCGACCGAAATGATCTGTATTCGTTTCAAGTGTACCAATTTACGATAGTTATCACTGTCACTTTCACTGTTTATTAATTATTATTATTATTATTATTATTATTATTATTATTATTATTATTATTATTGTTTATTATTATTATTATTATTATTATTATATATTGATTTCCAAATTTTGTACTGATAAACCCATCAAAACTACATTCTTATTGAAACCATGTAGTTATGCTGTAGTATCATATTATTACAGTACAGTATGTCATTTAACTTACCTACACTATTTTTATCTAAGGAATGAGTGAGCTGAACAATAATTGAATTAGGCACGTTGACCTTTCACTCAAGATGGATGATAATGATATGGTTCAAATACATTTACCACCTTATGAATACCCACCACCATGGATACCACCTCACCAGGTAAAGTATAACCCAGACTTCTCAAGTACTATGGAACATCCATAGTTAGGCCTATATTTTACTGAAATTTTGCCTAATTACAGATGTAGACGTACAGTACGGAAATAGACAAAAATACTAAAAGAATTTACCATAGACCAAAAATAAATAGGTCGGAAGTTGAGAACAAATGACTTCCATTCAGGATCTTTGGTTACATTGTCCCTAGACAACTCATACTTGTCTGATTTCATTTACTATGACAATCTGAAGACATAGATACGGAAATGCATTTTGCGAATTTGAGAAAGTCTGGTGTAACCAGACCTCTGCAAGGGCCGATGTTTCTACTGCCTGCAGCTATTTTTGTAAATATTACACTTTTTGTAATGGTGTAAATAGAAATAAGCAAACAAACGAAATAAATCCAGGAATTTTCTTTAAAAAGAGCTCAAAATGTATTTTTTAATTCTTAATTCAGTTAGAAATGTTGGGGACTTTTTAATATCTAGTCTAAAATGATAGTCACAGGGATTATGTATTGCTTTTAATATTTATTCAAAAATGTTTTCAAGCAGTAGAAATTATGTACTGCATGCGAAAGATGAATTTCTTCAAAATCCAACAAGAAATCATGTCTATTTTTTTATAATTCTGTTATTTGTGGGGTTTGGACATACTGTATCACTGGGTGGGGTGGTAATGTTACACTGACCAAAAAAAGAGATGATCAGCAGAGCAATTAGGAGGGTATCCTGACTGTTCAAATTTATTCTGGAAGACGAAAGCCACCCAATGCATGTAATAGTTGCCGGACAGAAAATCCAGCGTAGCGGTCATTTGTGACCACCGGCCCTACGCACAAATCGCCATCTTCTCTCCTTTCTACCACAGGGTATTATGCAATATAATTATAATTTTAAAAGATGGGTGAAAGCTTTGGCTTATTTTACAGTATGTATATTTAGGTTGCTGTGATCTTAAAATTTTTAATTTTTGTTGTTATTACTGTCATTTTAACATTTTTACCCTGTACCATTTTAAAATCTTGTTGCATTTTATCTTTTAATGCAAGAAATGAAATTTCCTCACATTGAGGATGAATTGATGCTTTGAATCTTTGAATTAAAAATTGAAAACCAACAGGTGTTTGGAAATTCAAGTTTGCTTGTTTACAAACTATCAACAGAGAGACCTGAGGACACACATATATGGAATTTGATTCCAAAGGTTTCTATTGCTTTACTACAGCCAGAACCAATAATAATAGTTATTTTCAAACTATTCAACCGTGATTAAGATCTGGAAAGCCCTAAATGTTCAATTTGATTTGCTCATTAATTTACTAATAATAATAATAATATTAATAATGATACTGTAATAATAATAATAATGATAATAATAATTAATAATAATAATAATAATAATAATAATAATAATAATGTCATACTAACAACAACATTAAATTTATATTTACTTAGTATTTATTTTCTTTCTTGTTGGAAAAAAGCGGCGCAACCATCAAGACTATGAGAGCAATTTAAGTCAGTTCCTTCCACGTTCAGTTCATTTCTCAAGATCAAGACAAACAAATCAGGTATGCAGTAAAACAATCAATCATATTGCGTTGTATAATTTCCCTTTTTCTAAACGGACAAATAAATGTACTTGAAATTTATTTGTCTTTTCGATACATCATTAGCCATTGTAGGTCTACTGTGAATGTTTTTCATTTGTGGTCACTAGGTGGGCTGCACCCTCTACTGTTGGAGACTGTTGCCTGTCGTTCACTAGGCTCCTTGATTTTGGGTCGGAGCGTCATATATATGAGACACTCATTAGGCTTTCTTGGCATGCCAGGCATTTGCGTTGGGGTCGCACTCCACCTTGCGACTAGAACAGAACAACAGTTGATTGCTTGATGAAGTGATGCTGATAATGCATTAAATATTGCACTTGTATATGACATTTATTTGTTTAAGGAAAATTAAATTTAATAGAAATGCAGTATAAAGTTTATTACAAATGAGATTGAATTATTCAAACAATCAGCAAAATTTGAAAATATAAAAATGTGTCATGAAGAATTCTTTCTAAAACAGGTATGTTATAAATATCCTATGAAATGAATTACTGCATATGTTTGTAAATAAATTGAAAACACTAAGTTTAAAAATAAATAGAATTACTAAACTTACACAAGACTCATTACAGGAGGAAAAGCACACATCATAGAGAAGATTTGTATGTATGTTGGGCGTAATAAGATGACCCCGCCCTGTTTCATGGTCAGAATTCCTACTTTTTTTGTTGCTTTTTATGGTCCTGATACTGCATCAAGCTGGCTAAAAGTGGAGTAAAATGCGAGTCTAATCTTCCAAATAACACCATTTTATGAGTTTTTAAATGTTCATCAAAATTCTACTTTACCGTATTTGCATTTATTCATACTAACATTTAGTAGCTTCATTGCTGTAGTAAATGTGCCTATTACGGACGATCCGCACATAAGACGAACATGATTTTAAAAAATCTAAAGTTTGTATATTGTGCGTATAAATTTCAACTCAGACAGCGTCATACGATGCAGCTCGACACAATTTGTTTTCGCGTCGGGTCTGTGTGAGTTAAACACAGATGCAGTGGTTTGCCTTGGGGGCAGTCGCGTCATAGAATATTAAACATGTTTAATAT